AAGAGAAGAGAAAATGGTAATTCTATTAAAAAAGGCCCGAAAAGGAGGCCAGCCTTTACAAAAGGGACTATCCCAAACCGGATAGCCCTAAACTACTGGGGAGGGGGTGTCGACGTCAATCCCTTCGACTTGAGCCCCTGCCGTTGGTCCAGCCAGGGGAACAGAAGAAGGGTCCTCGGCCTGAAGAGAGGACTCGGGAGGTGTTGCTGAGGGAAGAGTCGTTGGATCAGAGGCCGCCGGAAGAGCCGCCGAGTTCACAGTAGCCGACTATCCTTCAGTCCCCGGAAGAGCATCTATCACGGGCTTGAGGCCCCAGCCCTCGGGAGTGAAAGAGGAGTCTCGGACCAGCAGGGCATAATGGATTTCTGTCTGCGCCTCGCGAAAGCCGAGGCGATAGTCGCGCTCGCCCAGGTCCAGGAGGAACTCGTCACCATCCGGCGTCGACAGCTACTCCTTAGCAATTTCCTTCTGGCGAGCCTCTATCGCCGCCTTCACCTCCGCCTCGAAGGCAGCCGACTTCTTGTATTCTTCGACAGAGGTCGCAGCACTGACGGGTGACCCTCAGCATCTCGGAATTGTGCACCTCCACCGCCTTGAGGTGCTTCGCCTGCTCTTCCAAAAAGGCCTCCTCCGTCTGACGCAGCTTGAGGGCCATGGACCGCATTTCGGCCCTGTAGTTCTGCAGCCGCTTACTCATCTCCATTTGGAAGGTGAGGTTCTGTGAAAGGACCACGAGTCAGATAGTGAAAGGAAAGAACGCATGAGAGGAATTGGATGGGAAACACTTACGCGGTACGACTGGCGCAGCGAGGCCTCGATTATGTACGCGTCCCCCAGAGCATGAGTCGCTTCCACGTCCTTAGGCAGGAGGACGTTAGCACACCACTTACGGACGGAGGAGGCGCCCATCCAGATTTGGGCGTCCTCCTCTACCTCATGGCACAGCCGGATTCTTTTTGGAGCCGGCTCATCAGTTTGACCGGCCGGGCGCTTAGAGCTGGGGCTCTCTGTTTGAGGAGGAGGCGGCTGTCGAGTGGGCGACACCACTGGCGACGGAGTCAAATCCACCACATTTCGAGGTGGTGGAGGAGTCGGCCTGGGAGCAGGAGACGGTTGGGATGAAGAGGCAGCAGCAGTGCCGGAAATGCGCTTGGTCAGCCGACGCCTCATCTTTTCGGCTCTATCCGCCATCTCAGGAGTCAGCTCAACCGCTTCGTCGGAGCTGGAGGAGTCGGAATCGTACGGACCTGCGGAAAAGGGAGAAAAACCATGAAGTATTCCGAGTCGGAATGTGGCAAGATAAGAAAAGAAGAGGAACGAGGGGTAACGAAGACTACCTACGGTGGTCGCACCATCCGGTAGCAAACCACGCTTAGCCATGGCCCGGACTCGGGACCAGTACTTGACAGAGTACGGCCCAAAGCCCTTCAAGAACTCGCCGCCCAGGACCGCGTCATCATAAGGAACGGCACGTCGAGAGCAAGGCTTGAATAGAGCGGCCGGCCACAAGGTCGGAAAAGTGAAGGAAGAAAAAGCAGGGCGGACGAAGAAATAGGGGAGCTTCCAATCCTTAATGGAATCGGACAGCCCCTCGAAAAGCTGCCGCCCGGGCGAGCGGCGACTTGAACGAAGCCCGGCGAGTGCGAGCCGACCTTGTTCACGGTAAAAAGATACCGGAACAGGTCTAGGTCAGGCTCGCACAACCACCAATGGCAGAGGTTGACGAAGCAAGTGAGGAGTCGGTGAGAATTGGGCACTAGTTGGCCCGGAACTAAGTTGTAGTGGCGGTAAAAAAGGGAAAGAAAAGGACACGAGGGAACCCGGAAGCCAAAAGTAACCGAGTGTAAATGAATACAGACATAACCCTCGGGGGGGTCGTAAATTTACCGGCCCTCCGGGGCGAGGACTACGGCAGAAGGCCCAAGAAGGTATCGGGCCATTTCCAGGTCCACCGCATTGACAACGGATGGTGACCCGGAAGGGCGGACGATGGAATCGAACTTGCCCCGCGGCCGTCCGACGCCACCCGGAAGAGCCGCCATCGTCGTTAGAGGAGCGGGGCTCAGCGGAGTAACCGCCCCCGAAGAAGAGGGGGTCGATGGAAGAGAAGATGTCGATGGAACGTCCGCCGGAAGTTCCATACGACGGGGAGGAGAAGAAGAAGACGAAGAAGGAGAAGACGAAGAGGGAGAGGTCGTCTCAAGGTTATCGACCGAGTAACGACGAGAAGAAGAAGAATGTGAGGAAGAATACATTACCTAAGTCAGGAGAGAGATCGGAGGAAATATTGAGTGGCCGGAGAAGCTCAAAGTTGAAGCTGAGAAGAAAGACTGGAGAAGAAAAGGGAAGGAGAGGCGAAATGGCTATTTAAAGGGGATGAATTTCAAAGGACGGCCACGTGCCACCTTCTCGTTGGAGGAAGAGGAGGTGACGAGACGTGAAGGGACGCCGCATTAAATGCCTCAAAAGGCGGGGCGACGGTTCAGGCCTAGGGTTAGCCCACAGACGGCGCGTCTGTCCTAGGCTAGGGTCGAACGTTAAGTGACCCGGCCTGCTAAGCCGGAAGCCCGTAGTGGGCCATGGCCTCTGGGCCCATATGATACGAGCTGGGAGCTTCTAGAATGACCCGGTAGAACCCGGCTCATCGAATGATATCAGCCGAGTTCACGAAAAGACTCCCGTAACCAGGTCGGCAATCAGACTTGGCGACTCCCTCACCAGGAGGGTCTCGCCATAGCAGGGCTAGGAATCAGTCCCATAGGCCAGAGGTCGGACGACAAAATACTAAGGAGATGCGGGGTCGGACAGAAAAACACACAATTTATTTAATTAGTACGAAGATTACAAGGCCCAACACTCGGCCGATGCAGATTACAAGAGAAAAAACGAGTCAAGGCTTGGCTTTTTTCTCTGTCGACGGGCTAGCGGTCAGAGGGCCTTCCAGGAGGTACTGAGAGCGGAAAGGCAGAGGACTCGGCTCAGGCTCAGGCATTTCGTCCAGGTACACGGCGGGCTTCCCGTCATCGATCATTTGCAAAGGCCTCTCCAGAGCGCTCGGCGACATGGCCACGCCGAAGAGGGGAGGAGCCTCCCACTTCTCTTCCACCATTGGTTCGGGATCTTCCACCACCGGCTCCATCTCCACCCCAGATTCCGTCTCCACGTCAATGGGTTCCCTGCACATCAGGTCCAGCATGTCTGGAAGCACCACGATGGGGAATCGCCACCTCAACAAAGGACCCATCTTGAGAAGTCACTCGGGCAGTCGTGGGAGTAGGCGGATGGCGTGATGGCGGAGCGACCTCGCGTCGAGAAGGAGTCGGCGGCTGAGAAGCTGAGGACATAGCGCCGGCAGGAGACCTCTGAGGGGCTGGGCGAGGAGTCTTCTTCCCGTGTTCTCGTTCAGGCCGAGTCCGCTTGGAGGGCAGCGGACGCCAAGGAGACCCGAAGTCAATCCGTTTTCCTTTCAGAGGAGAACGACCCATGATAGACTTGAGAAGGTGAAAGAAAAGGAAGGACGCCATTTATAGGGACCAAGTTTAGACGGAATAATCCAAACGGCCCCGCGAAATCCGGAGGAGATGGCTGAGGATCCGGACGTTACCAAAAGATATTTACGACGAAGATACGATGATTGAGAGGGATGAACAGTTGCTACTTTTCCAAACCTAGGCTAGCGGACCGGGTGTGGAAAAGTGAGGGACTAGTTGATGGGGTGAGGACCCCGGCCCAAGGTATGGGGGCCCAAAGGAAATAGATAGGAGAAGTGGGCCAGCGTCGAGAGGAGCCCGAAGAACAATTGGGCCGAGTCCGGGAGTCGGCCCAGGCCCAAGCATGGGGCCCAATTTCGAGCTGCCAAGAGGAGTCCGGTAGGAGCTTAGGCCGAGACAAGGAGTCGACCGAGGCCCAAGCCCAGGAAAGGACTCGGCTCAAGGAGCCGTTGAGAGCATTGAAGAGGCTCGTTTAAAAAGGGAGCCGTTGAGACATTGAAAGCCGGACACGGTCAGGCCGTTACAAGTTTGAGAGAGTCGTTGGTCGACCGAGTAATGGCATCCAACGGCTCCGTATCTTAATTAGCCATGAAGTCGGCCATCAAAGGCCTTCAAGTCGGAAGAGGGGGAGCCACTATATAAAGGCTCCTCCATTCTTGTAAAAGGGGGACAATTAGACACCCAAGGAGGGGAGAATACCAAAAAGAGTTCCGAGTACTAGCATAATCTCCGAAATAGACATACACTTTATCGAAAGGTGCACCCACCAGCCGAAGGTTGTGTTGGACCTCCTTGGACCCGAAAACCCTAAAACCATCATATATATATATATATATATATATATATATATATATATATATATATATATATATATATATATATATATATATAAAGTATTACCTATATTATTAACATCCTGTTTTGTCCATGGAAATTACTTAAAATATTGATTATATTGTTTGATTGATGAGAAATAAGTTGTTGAGAATAATTAATATAAAGATTCAAATATATCCCAACATAGTAAAGATATGTGAGAATAATATAATAATTTTATGGGGTCTTTTTCTCACAAAAAAAATTGAAAATAAAATACTAAAAAAGACTAATGAATTCATTTTATTTGAAATTTAAAGAATCTATTCTTTATCATCCGGAAAATGTAAAATTTGAAAAAAAAAAAAAATTATTTTAGGAAAAAATTTTCATCTTAACCAAACAAGTCGTACAAGTATTATATTTTTACTAATATATTTAATTAAAAATATAATACTTGTTATATTCTTATTATCTTTCTATTAAAATTATTATATATTTGAAATTTATATAATGTGTGACAATTTCACACAATTTTATTTTATTTTTTGTAAATTTCCTTTTCAAGGGATTCTTGTTGCTTTCCTTGTAAAAATAAAATAAATTTAATAGCGACAGGTGGGGACAAGAATTGATCATGCAACGTGGAAGTAAATCTGCGCTGTATATAAAGCAGCTCTGCATTCACGGATTACTGTTTAAGTGTTAACTCCCTCAATTCAATTTCAAGTTCACACTGCACCGACTCATCCCAATTACTCTCTCTCTCTCTCCCTAATAATGCTGCTCAAAAGGCGGAATAAGCTTTCGCTTCCCGCCGCCTTTCTGCTCTTTTCCGTTATCCCTTACGCGCTTTTTGCGGCGGAGACGTCTCCGGCGTCCAGTCCGATTAAGACTGTTGTGGTGCTGGTAATGGAGAACCGCTCCTTCGATCATATGCTGGGATGGATGAAGCAGAAGGTTAATCCGGCGATTGACGGCGTCGATGGCTCTGAGTCGAACCCGGTCTCCACAACTGACCCGAATTCGCCGCGGTTGTTCTTCGGTAATCGGTCTCATTTCGTGGATCCGGACCCCGGCCACTCGTTCCAGGCAATCCGCGAGCAGATCTTCGGATCCAATGAGACTTCCGCGGATCCGCCGCCGATGAACGGCTTCGTTCAGCAAGCTGCGTCCATGGACCCGAATATGTCCGGGAGTGTGATGAACGGGTTCGACCCGGATATGGTCGGGGTATACAAGGCATTGGTGTCGGAATTCGCGGTGTTCGACCGGTGGTTCGCCTCCGTCCCGGCCTCCACCCAGCCCAACCGCCTCTACGTCCACTCCGGCACCTCCCACGGCGCCACCTCCAACGTCGCTTCCCTCCTAGCAAAAGGCTATCCGCAGCGCACCATCTTCGAAAACCTCGACGACGCCGGCGTAGATTTCGGAATCTACTACCAGAACATCCCGGCGACACTCTTCTACCGGAACCTGAGGAAGCTCAAGTACTTAGGCAAATTCCACCCCTACAGTTTATCCTTCAAAAGCGACGCGAAAAACGGGAAGTTGCCGGGCTATGTTGTGGTGGAGCAGCGGTACATAGAGTCTAAGGTGGAGGCGGCCAACGACGATCACCCATCGCACGATGTGTATGAGGGGCAGATGCTAGTGAAGGAGGTGTACGAGACGCTGAGGGCCAGCCCGCAGTGGAACCAAACTCTTCTCCTTATAACGTATGATGAGCATGGCGGATTCTTTGATCATGTCCCCACGCCCGTGCGTGGGGTCCCCAGCCCCGACGGAATTGTGGGCCCCGACCCATTCTATTTCAAGTTCGATCGCTTGGGAGTTCGGGTCCCCACCATCGCCATCTCCCCTTGGATAGAGAAAGCCACCGGTACGGTATGAATTGAATTGAATAAATATAATATTCATCCTTGCTCTTACTTTACTTATAATAATAAATATAATAATGTTCTTTCAATTCCTATAATCAATTTTAGTATTTGTTATTCATTTCAGTACTACGTACACTTTACATGCTTTAATTATATTCCCCATCTGTAAGTTGGGTGAAGTCCCCCTCCCTATCTATGAGACTATGAAGAATAGAAAAGAGTAAACGTCAGTGAAGGTCCTCTGCATGAGTGTGGAAAGGATTATATGTTACATAATAAATCATATAATAAAAGCATAGTCTAACACTCTAAATTTGGTGATTTCACCACTTTTAGTCCTAAACTTTTAAATCGATCATCTAAATCTTCCGAGTTTTGAAATCGACCTGCCATAGTCTTTCTGTTCAGATATCTCGTCTTAGCCGTGAAAATTAAGCACAAAACAGTCTTTTTGCAACCCAGCCAAAACAATTCATTTTCCTCATAAATTAGCCATAATGCATTTCTTCATACCTTCGTCCTCCCATTTCTTCTGTCGCGACCGATGTTGTTCCGGAGGGTCCAATTCCCGGATGCAATAAAATGAATTGTTTTGGTTGGGGTTGCAATAAAAAGACTGTTTTGTCTTAAATTTCACAGCTGAGATGGAATATCTTAACGAAAGGACTACGGCGGGTCGATTCCGGAACTCAGAGGATCACGGAGGGTTAATTTAAAAGTTTAGGATTAAAGGTGACGAAACCAACAAACTCGGAAGACCTTGGCTAATATTTACTCAATAGAAAATGATATTTAGTCTCTAATTATTCAGTCTTCTACATTTTTTAGTGGTGAGTAAATAAGCAGTAATTATCTGAGATTTTGATTTTGAGAGTATGTGCAGTATACTTCACTTTGTAGTCCTAAATTAAATGGCAAAGGAATCAAGAAAGCCAATACTTTGACATTTAGTCCTATGATTGAAGGATTAAATGTAAAAAAATTTAATAATTGAGGGGTTGAGTCCGTTATTTCATCATAACATATTTGATGGACTAAAGATGTGATTTTTAGTAAGGAATGTTTTGATTTGTTGGTTGTTACTGTAGAAAGTTTCTTTAATTTGATTGTCGGTGAAACATCTATCAATATTATTATATATTATATATACAATAAAACCATAGATCAGATTAGAATCTCTTGAAGCATTTTCCTTATCCGTATATGAACTGAATTGGGCGCAGTTGTTCATGGGCCAAATGGGTCTCCCTTCCCTAACTCGGAGTATGAACATTCATCTATTCCGGCGACGGTGAAGAAGATCTTCAACCTGCCGTCGCCGTTTCTTACCCGGAGGGATGCATGGGCAGGCACCTTCGACTCCATTCTTCAGAAACGGAAGGAACCTAGAACTGATTGCCCAGGTTCGTTAACTTTCCTTTTTATTCTCTTTTAATCAAATTTCCATTTTTACCCCTCACCATTTTTTTCTCCACAACCATGGTTGCAATAGGCACCCGGCGCTAGTCGGGGCCGGCCTAAACGACTTGGCGGGGCCTAGGCGGCTAATTAAGAATAAGAAAAATAGTGCACATGTGTAGGTGCATATATGTCGTATTATATATATATATATATATATATATATATATATATATATATATATATATATATATATAATGCTAACTATTTTGTACATTGTGCTTTTAGGGGGCGTTTGGTTCAGGTTATATAATATAACCAAGGGAATGTGACATTCCAAAGCTCACATTCCTGTGTTTGGTTCACATTATCTCAGGGAATCTAACATTCCCCAGGAATGTCACATTCCCTCCACATAGGATTTTGAAGGGAATGTGATTCCCTTCAATTTCTAAGGTTTTGTAAGATAACCTTGGTTATGTTAGTTTATCTCTCACACACACACATATAATTATTTTTGTAATTATATATATTTTTATTTTTATTATGCTAGGTTAGCATATAAAATAATTTTGTTTCTCAAGTTCAATATTTTAGTTAATATTTTAAAATCATGTAATTATATATGATACCGTTATCTTATTTATTTATTTTAATTTTAAAATTTATTAAAATATATGAAAATATGTTAAGGATATTATAGTGTGTGAATAAAACATAACCCTAAACCAAACATGATTATATTACATACCCCAATTTTAACCAAACACAGGAATCTAACATTCCCAGTAATCTAACATTCCCAGCAATCTAACATTCCCTAAGGTAATCTGACATTCCGTGAACCAAACGACCCCTTAGAGTTGTATTATATAATTTTTTAGATAAAAATACCCTTACTGTTATAACTTCCGTTATCTTTTCCGTTACTTACCATGCACATGCATCTACCATATATTTTCTTATATTCTTTAATTATAACAAAATATTTGTAAAACAATATATATTCATTTTATATTAGATTAATATAATAAATAAATTTTATTTCACTTTGATTTTAATTAGTAAAAATTTGTTAGTTATTTTTAAAAATATAAATATTGGGCATATGTTTTTGCGCATCGCGCATAGAAAAGACTAGTATATATATATATATATATATATATATATATATATATATATATATATATATATATATATATATATAAATTAGCAAGGTCGAGTCGGCCAGGTTAACTCAGCTAACTCGATCAAAATGGACGAGTTAACGTGCTATGCGGGTCCTTAGGCGGGAGCCTAGGGGGGAAATCGCCACGGGGGGAAATCGCCTAGGGGGGAAATCGCCACGGTTTAGGACGCCTAGCGACTAAACTATGCGGGCGTCTAGGCGGCTCACGGTCTAGGACGCTTAGTGTCTAAGCTATCCGGGCGTCTAGGCAGCCGGCCGCCTAGACAGGAGCCTAGGGAAAAAATCGCCACGGTCTAAAACGCCTAGAGACAAAGCGTCGATTAATCGATGGCTAAACGGGATTTTTGCAACAGTGTCCACAACTATAAATTATCATACTCCTGCATTTCTTTCTTTACTTCTAATTCTCCTACATTCCATGACTTTGTTGATATTGTTGGATTAGTTGTCTGTTATATTTTTTTATCAATTCACTTTAATTTTTGCAACAATTTAGTAATTTGATAATTTTAATATTTTTTTTCTTACCCAAAAATGCTCATAAATGATATAATATTACCAAAAGAAATGTAATTTAATTTAATAAAGGACAGTATACATCGCACCGTATACCCATTACTTAACTATTATGATTTATTTAGTGTAAGTTTCACATTTTGTTTTCAACTATTGTGGTACGGCTACATTTAATCATTTTCATCAATTGTCACAATTAGTTCTTTATTTAAATTTCTATTATTCTATAGTTTAATAAATATATGTTTAAAATTCTATAATTTTATAATTTAAGAGTCTAGCTCTAACATGTAATTTCTTTTATTTTATTGTAAACTCTTTTTAATTGAATAATAGAGTACATGTTAACTCCCTTTGTTAAATAGTGAAATGATAAACGGAACTTTAAATAGAAGAGTAATTATGGCAAGTAAATGAAAATCAATGATATAATGTCACACAATTAAAAGAATATGATTAAATGTGACAATTTTATAATAGTTGATGATTAAAAGTAAAATTTATTCATTATTTTATTATTACTTAATTGTTCAACTTATGGATATTATATTATATATATAAGTTACTAAGTATGAAATGTTTTGTAGAATTAATTTTAGAAATAGTCCTTTGATTAGTTATGTTTTTTAAATCATTGACTATCAATATGATCATAATTAGTTTTCAGATTATCGATTATATTTTAAATCTGATCATTCATTTAAAAATTTAAATTTGTTTGGGAGGTGTTAATTATAATATAAGGTTAAAAGTGTGTAAAACCTTGCGTCTTTCTTTTGTATTTTATACGGAGTATTATTTATGTATATGCAATGTCCATTACTGAAATTTCTTAACCAATTTATCTAAAATCCTAAGAAAAACGTTAAAATACTTGATGGTTTTTGGGTTTTTAGGCCCAAGGAGGTCCAACACAACCTTCGGCTGGAGGATACACCTTTCAATAAAAATGTATGCCTATATTGGAAATAATGCTAGTGCTCGGAATCTCTTTGGTATTCTCTCCCCTCCGGGTATTCAATCGTCTGTCCTTTTACAAGAGTGGAGGAGCCTTTAAATAGCGGCTCCTCCTCTACCGACTTGAAGGCCCTTAATGGTCGACTTCAAGACTAATCAAGATATGGAGCCGTTGGACGCCATTACTCGGTTGACCAATGACTCTTCCAGGCTTGTAACAGCCTGACCGAGTCCTGCTTTCAATGCCCTAACGGCTCCCTTTTAAACGAGCCTCTTCAATGCTCTCAACGGCTCCTTGAACCGAGTCTTTTCCTGGGCTTGGGCCTGGGTCGACTCCAGGACTCGGCCCAATTTCTCTTCGGGCTCTTCGGGCGCTGGCCCACTTCTCCTGTCTCGAACCATTTTCTTTGGGCCCCTATCTCTTGGGCCGGGGTCCTTACCCCATCAACTAGTCCTTCACATTTTCATACCCGGTACGCTAGCCTGGGTTTGGAAAAGTAGCAACTGTCCATCTCCTTCAATCACCGTATCCATGCCCTGAATAGCCTTTTGTAACGTCCGGATCATCAGCCATTCTCTCCGGATCTCACGGGGCCGTTTGGATTCTTCTGTCTAGACTTGGCACCTATAAATGGCCTCCTCCCTTCTTTCTCTCTTTCACAAGTCCATCATGGGTCGTTCTCCTCTGAAAGGAAAACGAATTGACTTTGGGTCCCCTTGGCGTCCGCTGCCTTCCAAGCGGACTCGGCCTGAAAGGGAACACAAAAAGAAGACTCCTCGCCCGGCTTCTCAGAGGTCTCCTGCCGCCGCTATTCCTTCAGCTTCTCAGCCGCCGACTCCTCCTTGACGTGAGGTTGCTCCATCTTCACGCCATCCGCCTAGTCGCACAACTGCCCGACTGACTTCTCAAGACGGGTCCTTTGTTGAGGTGGCGGTTTCAGAGCAACTTACTTTCAGAATGACCTTCTCAATCCCGCTGGACGACCTGGATGGGCCAGTTACGGGCCTAATGAATGATGAGGATTACGCCCGCTACCTGGAGGCGTATCCGGATGATGAGGAGCCAATTGCGCCACCACTCATGCCAGCTTTCTGGGACTCGTTCTGTCCATCCCCACCTGGACCACCAGGGGGATTCTTTGGGGGCGACTCTTCCTCGCCCGACGAGTGATCATATGTACCGGAGTCGGCCATAGTTCGGAGGAATCTTTTTTGGAGCATTTTCATATTCCTTATTGCAATAAGCTCCTTGCTACTTGTACCCTCCTTTTTTATAATAATAAGAAATGCTATTTTCGCCTTGCCTTATGTTTCATCGTGTTTTGTTGCGTACTCATCCGGACGACTGGTCAAGGAGTCGGTCACATCACCATGCTCTTTTCAGTCTGACACCTGCAAGATTCCCCGTATCTCGGGTGAATCCAATCTTCTCTGTGTTGACGTGCAAATCTTGCTCTTCCCGGGCGAATTTGATGGAACTAATCTCTGACAGAGATTCGCGTCATCCGTCTAATCCGGCTCAGTTATGTCAGTTATAATCACCTCCGTGATTATCGCCTAGATATTCGCCTTCAGTAGGCTATATAAAGACTCTTCTCAGTTGATGCAAATCGCAACACTCTTCATTTTACGAAAGCACGGCGCTATGAGTTACAGGGATGGTGATCGTCACTGGTCCATTCGCAACAAGGAACATGCTCGACTAGAGCAGTTGAGGCAGAAGAGGCTGGCTAATTGAGGTCGTTTGGTGGGCGACTCGGCTTCAGACCCCATTGTGGTGCCTCCAGACATGCTGGACCTGATGTGTAGGGAGCCTGTCGATGTGGAGATGGAGCCTGTGGTGGAGGATCCAGAACCGATGGTGGAAGAGAAGTGGGAGGCTCCTCCTCTCTTTGGTGTTGTCATGTCGCCGAGCGCTCTGGAGAGGCCCTTGCAAATGATCGATGACGGGAAGCCAGCCGTGTATCTGGACGAAATGCCTGAGCTTGAGCCGAGTCCTCTGCCTTTCCGCTCTCAGTACTTCTTGGAAGGCCCTCCGACTGCTCGCCCGTCGACAGAGAAAGAAGCCAAGCCTTGACCCGTTTTCCTCTTGTAACTTGCATCGGCCGAGTTTTAGGCCTTGTAATCTTTGTACTTATTAAATAAACGGCGCTAGCGCCTCGCGAAAGCCAAGGCGATAGTCACGCTCGCCCAAGTCCAGGAGGAACTCGTCACCATCCGGCGTCGACAACCACTCCTTGGCGATTTCCTTTCGGCGAGCCTCTATCGCCGCCTTCACATCCGCCCCAAAGGCGGCCGACTTCTTGTAATCCTCAACGGAATTCGCAGCAATCGTCGCCACCT